CCTCAGAGAATCTGGGACAGGTGACTGCCGCTTGGAGGGTGAGGGCTGATGGGGAGGGGGAAGAGAACAAATTTATAAATGACCGGTTTCGAGATCTCACAGGGGCCCAAGGCCAACTATGATGCATAGCAATAAAAATTTCATGTAAAGGATTTTAAGCTCGACTGCCCTTTCTGGGGAGGCTGAAAAATATTTTTCACCTAAGTGCAAACCCACTCTGGTCGGCCCTGCATAAGGTTAGCTCTCTTGCATCCAAGCTGCTAGCCTGGCCAGATGGAGGGTGGCCTTGGTTGTGTGTGTGTGTGTGTGTGTGTGTGTGTGTGTGTGTGTTTGTGTGTGCTTGCACTTGACACAGCTGGCACCCTTGCCTCTGGTCACAACAGTGAAGTGGCTCCCCGTAAATCTCCAACACCAATTTCAACAAAGCAAGAACCCTTCCTTCCTCCGGGGTGAAGTGAAGGAAACACAGTCCCCACCTTGCAACATTTTACGACCTTGGTGGAGGTTATCTTTCTCCAGACCTTAGAGCAAACGGAGGCTCCACAAAAGTATGAATCGTAACAAGCTGGTAATTTTTTTTTTTTTTGTAAGAAATTGTTGCTGTTGTGGCATGAGAATTTAAAACAATCTCAGAATACAAATTTGATCTTGGAATACAAATGCAATAAACATGATTTGTCAGGAGGCACTAACAGAAAGGGGTGGTGATGGTCCTTATTGTTTCATAATGAATTCCTTCCAAGGATCACACATTCAGATGCCCCCAAGGCCAGGCAGGGCTCAGTGAGGAGAGCAGAAAAGAGGAGCTGGTGAACTGGGGAGCACAAGCCTGTCTCTGAGGCAGCTCAGCTGTAGCCAGTTGTTGTCATGGGGAATACGGATCCGTGTTGGCCAGAACTTCAGATATTTTTAAAGCAAAGCCAGAAATCCAGAATTTTATGTGAAATCACCCAAGGTCTACAAATTGGCAACTAACTCGGTTTTTTTAAAAAACATTGCTAGGGCCAGACACATCACATCTGTGGGCTAGACTCCACTCACGGGGGCATCCTGTGTGTGTCCTCTGTAGCTGTGTATTCCCTTAGAGCATGTGGTCAGGAAAGGGGGCCCGCTGCTTTCCACCGTGGGCTGGTGTGTGCGGTGGGACGGTGTCCCTAGAGCAGGATGAGAAAAGCGCCCATAGCCCAGCTCTGTTTCCTTATCGTGTTGGAAGACTACCCGCAGCCGCTCTAAGCTGACCTCATCCCTTCCCATCTCATCCCGAATTCCCCGGAAGGGAGTGTCCAGCCATGCCAGGTGCCCCGTGGAAGGGCAGATGCAGAGGGCGGGGCAATGTCATGATCCCTTGGGACAACTGTAGCCTCGCTGTCTACTGAAAAGGAGCAATGAATTTTGGGAACGTGGCCGGATCGGGAACCATGGGCATTTCCGCACTTTTACAAACGAGGATGTAACACTTTCAAGGTGGCCCCTGGAAAGAGAGAAGCACTGAAACCAGACAAGAGGAACTGGGAGGTAGAGAAAATAAGGCATCTTAAGGAGATGACTGCATCTGGAAGCCCATTAGGAGTAGAGAAGGGTCCTGGATGCCTTGACCCCTTGATCTGAGTCTGGACCACCCAGCCCATTAAGATAATTATGTGCAGTGGCTGAGGTCTTCCTCTCATGAGCTGGAACTCTTATAACTTGTGTTCTGGCCTACGGAATAGAGAATCTCACTGCTGGGGCGCCTGGGTGGCTCAGTCAGTTAAGCGTCCAACTTCAGCTCAGGTCATGATCTCAAGGTTTGTGAGTTCGAACCCAGAACTGGGGTCTCTGCTCTCAGCCCAGAGCCTGCGTTGGATCCTTTGTCTCCCTCTCTCTCTCTCTCTCTCTGCTCCTCCCCCACTCTCTCTCTCTCTCAAAAATAAATAAACATTAAAAACAAAAAAAGAATCTCACTACCATCTCCAAGTGTAGTGTAAAGATTGTCTGCTTTAACGTCATGCTTTATATCATCCACTGGCTGTGTCCCATTAGAATGGCTGCACTAGAGTAGATATTGCTCTTTATATCATCAGAACACCTCAAATAGGGGCTCACTGATTACTTGTTAATTTGCTTCGGTAAGACGTGTTCATATGCGTTTTATATGTGGTCTGTATTTCTAGGTACTTAGAGATCCACTGTATCCCTGGCTTTGATGCATGGTTTTCTGCTGCTTCTCCCCATGTATCCACGTTTCTGGTGATATGCTTTTGTCTGTGTGCCGTCCTCACCCCCACTATTATCATGTGTTCACCAAGACCATAGGATTAGAGTCCGTAGGTCAACAATTCAACGTGGAGCACAGATGTAGCGAAAAGAAATTAGACTGGAAGAAAGTCTGTTAGCTGACGAGCTAGAATCCAGATAGCCTGGGTTGTCCCAGAATCCACCAGAATGGAAGAGAAAGTTATTTTGTGTAATTTGCAAGTATGAGTGTGTATATTTTTCTCTGCACATCTTTGTGAGGATTGAAGTGATATATTTTTGTACAAGCAATTTACTTAAGGACCTCTTTTAAGATTTCTTATAAACATTAAGATTTCTGGATATGTATATACCTATCTATCTATATATACATATATCTGGGATATATATATATAACAAATATTATATTATTAGATATATAAATATATACTAGCAGCATGTATTAATAGTCATTATTTAAAATCCATTATTTATTAGGATAATTAACATAATTATTGTGAAATTATTACAATTTTGTTAATAATATTAATATGTAATCTTGATTTGCAATATTATATATGTATATAACAAATACAAATTAATTTTCTTTTCATTTTCATTTTAAAAATTTTTTTTTTTTTTCAACGTTTATTTATTTTTGGGACAGAGAGAGACAGAGCTGAACGTGGGAGTGGTCAGAGAGAGGGAGACACAGAATCAACAGGCTCCAGGCTCCCAGCCATCAGCCCAGGAAGCCTGACGCTGGAGCTCGAATCTGCACAGACCAGGATCGACCTGGCTGGAATGGACAGCTTAAGCCATGCGCACCCAGGCACCCCTCATTTTCATTTTAAACTTTAACGTGATTTCAGAAGAACTTTTAGGGGTAACCTGTGGGTCGGTTAGATCTGCAGCCTGGGTCCTCAGATCATAGATTCTCGTGGTTCATGGGTTCGAGCCCCACATCAGGCTCTGTGCTGACAGCTCAGAGCCTGGAACCTGCTTTGAATTCTGTGTCTGCTCTTCGCCACTCCTCCCCACTCATGTCCGAGACTCCCTCTCTCTCTCTCTCTCTCTCTCTCTCTCTCTCTCTCTCTTTCAAAAATAAATAAACATTAAAAAAAATTCTCAACGGGTAATCTCATTTGAACATGGTAGTAACATCCTTATCCTTTCTTGGATCAGCTCTGTATCCATTATAATTAAAAATATGTGAAAGGTGCATGAGTGGCTCAGTTGGTTAAGCATTCAATTCTGATTTCAGTCAGGGCAAGATACCAAAGTTCATGGGTTCAAGCCCCGTATCAGGCTCTGCCCTGACAGCACAGAACCTGCTTGGAATCCTCTCTCTCTGCCCCTGCACCTCTCATTCTTTCTCTCTCACACACACAAAATAAATAATAAATAAGAGAATACATAAAACTTATAAATAAGCTTAAATATACGTGTAAAAATGGTATATGCATGCGGGAAGAGAAGAAGAGGAAATACTGAGAATTAAATCAGCTGATGGTTCTGAGTTATGGATAGCAAGTGATTCCCTCCCCCCCATTTATTGTAATTAAACCATTTGTGTAACTTAAAAACAAACAAAAACAACAACAAGAATGCCTCAAAATGAGAAAGCAATGCCCCCGGAGTAAGAGTTCCCTTTTCAAAAACAGGCATTTTTACACTCTCAGTCTTACACTTAAGAAACCCATTTTTATCAGCCTGGATTTATTTCCACTTTCCAATAATGTATTCCTTAGTCGTCTTATTTCTTGATCTCATCAAGATACCCCTTGATTAGAAAACCGAACGAGGGAAAAACTAAATTATTTCCGACGCTCCAGTCTGCGTACCTAAGATAGTTTCTGTAATACCAAAGACAAGTTCCTGGAAATGCGGTCTTTTTCCATCTCCAAGGCGGCTGTGCGGGAGATGCTGTTCACTCAGGCACCGCCAGGAGATCTATATTTCTGTTCTTGACATCTGTAGGTGCCACTGCCACCGCCAATGGTGATGATGATAAGTGATGGGAAAATGAACTGGGAGGTGATGCATCTTCCTTGACAGATTTAAAGGATTGCCGCGGGCAGCCCCGAGGCAAGTGCTGACTGAGGACATTCTGGCGCCTGCGTGGGTCACCGTGGCACAGACAGGCAAAGCTGTGAAGAGCTGGGAGCAGTGCGCAGACTCTGTGCTTTCGATCTCTGCCTGGATCCTTTTTGTGCATTGGGGGTGCGGGGGTGGGGGAACTGGACGTTGTACTATAGAGTCTGAAGCATCCGTTGCTGTGGGTTAGTTGGTCTCCGTCGTGTACTTGGGTCATTCCTGTGGGGAGCCGGTATTTACGGCGCCGTGTGCAGCTTCCAAGGCTATGCCCGCAGTAAACAGGGGAATAGGGTGAATATCCTAAGATTTTGAGGCTTTCACCCAGGGTGCGGTAAGTGCTGGTTGTGGGCTGGGTGCCTCCTAATATTGGTCAGCGGGGAAGTGTCTGACCCGAGCTATGGCTCTAGCAAACCCAGGCAAATACAGACCTAGGTGAAACAAAGGACCCTGGCTGCTCCCTGGGGAGCCTGAGGTGCTGTGCTTCCTGCTTCTGGAAAGCCAGGCCTGGGGTAATATCCAAAGAGAGGAAATGAGCTAGCACCCAGTTACCCTACTCATTTTGCTGGTTTAAACAGACCTAGGATTTTTGGTTGTAAAACAGCTAGTAACCCTTTGGCTTTTCTTTTTTGCTTCTGTCTTTTCCAGAGCTTTTATAAACATTTGACTTTACTCAAAATGTGCAAAGAAGAATAATGGAAGCCCCTGAATACCTGGATTTGGATGAAATTGACTTCAGTGATGATATATCTGTAAGTCATACTTCTTGCAAACAATGCTTCAGGAGGTTCTGCCTTTACCTGTAATCTGCGGATCCTGAACTCTTCCAATCGCGTTTAGCAGTTGATGGCAGATGGAATGTGGCTTTGGGGTCCCCTGGACCAAGAAGCGAATCTCACTTAATTGTGTGTATGGCATGGTGTGTGTGGGGGCGGGGTGGGAAAGGCATATGACCTCATTGAGCTCCCCCCTTCCTAATTGTTGTCGAAATTATTCACCAAGAAAATTTATGAAATGCCTGCAGAGAGCACATGATCAACCCTATCAGTGATAATTCCCTTTATAGGACTGGCTTTACCGCAGCCAAGCTTTCTCTGGAGCTCACAAGGACACGACGGCCAAGTTGCTCACTGATGAACAAACAGTAAGAGGAATCCTTCCAGGCACTGTAGGTGTCAAAGCACAGGTTGGATGCTATTGGGGAATACTGAGAGTCATGTGTTGATGAGGACTGGGCCAGCTCCTCTCTGAGGCCCTGTTTAATCCTGTGAAGCTCTGAGCTGATGAACTTCTTCATTGTCAGGAGCCACCACCTTCTTGCTGCCTCCAGCCTATCTCACCGTGGCTCTGAGGGGTCCTCTGTACGCACCCTGCCTAGAAGTGACTGTGACTTATCTCAGGCCACACGGTCATTTCTGCCTCCGAGGCCAGCCAGCAGCCTTGTTGGCTGCTCACAACCCCAGATAAACCGGCTCTCAGAATATGTGATGAGAAGAGTGCTCTTTCTAAACTAGCCATATAAGTTTTCTTCCCAGGACCTCCGTGGTCACAATTGCTGACCCTACTTTTCATCACTGTCTCAGGGCATGGAGCTTTGGGTCACCACTAGAAATGGTGTCAAAAAAGATAAGCTTCTTTTCACACACCTCTGGCAAAGTTATTTCTCTACTCCGCTATTCGCTATTCACTTTGAAGTAAAACTTGCATACTGTACGCAAGGGTTGGATTCCTCGGGGGAGTTTGATGAATGATCTGCTTTATACAACCTTGGATGATTCTTGGTGTGCCAGGGAAATGTGAATGCCGGCTCTCCCTATTTTAGCTTCCAGACAATCTTTATTAATCCTCGTTGAGACCAATGCGAAGTGAGTTTCTTCCTTCCCACCTTATCTTTCTGTCTCTCTCTCTTTTTTAAGTTACTATACTTAAAAGTGTTCAGAACATGGTTCTGTTATAGCATTGACCTTGAGGTATTTTTTTTAAGTGTATTTATTTTGAGAGAGAGAGAGAGAGAGAGAGAGAGAGCAAGAGTGGGGAGAGGGCCAGAGAGGGAGAGGGAGAATCCCAAGCAGGCTCCAAGTTCAACACAGAGCCCAACTTGGGGCTCGAGCTCATGAGCACGAGCTCACAACCAGAGCTGAAATCAGGAGTTCAGCAGTCAACCAATTGAGCCACCCAGGCACCCCTCACCTCGAGGTATTTTGAGCCTAGTGGGGAGAAGCAAAGAAAGTAAAGAATAATGTGGGGAGATGTAGGGAGTGTGGAAGCTGTCTTAGAAAGAAAAACATACATTATGATTAGGAGTTCAGAGTAGCTCTCTTAGCTTTGATAATGAAGCAGCATTTAAGGAGCTTGGGGTTTGGAAGGCCCCTGTTGGGCTCCAGCCTTGTTCTGACCTGTGCTGACTGGAGAGCAGTAACTTTGCCTCTCCTAGATACCCACCAACTTTTACTGCTGTGTGAGGATTGAGTGAAATAATAATATATGTGGAGCATGCAGCTTGGCACACTGTTAAGTTGCCCTTAAAAATGGTAGCTTTTGCTATTATTTCAGTGAATAATAACAATAATATTTATATGGCCAATGGTGAAGAAAGAACTCAAGGGAAAAAACCAGGCATCATGTCAGGACTTTTTTTTTATATACAATAGAGCATTTGTACTTACAGAAGAATCATCTGGCAACAGCCTATAATTTTGATGAATTAGGGATCTCCACTTGAAAGATAATAAACCACGTTAAGCAATAGCCCACGCTGTTTAGCAAATCGGGATACGGGATTATGTAATAGTCGAGCTCCTACAACTTGACCACTCTGAAACATAAATAAAGATTATCCATCTGTAATTGTGTAACTGCACTCAAACCTTCCCCCACCTCTTTAAAGATGTTCTATTGTTTGGATCTTTAATCTGCATTTAAACTTAAATCAGAGGGGGAAAAAAATGATACTGCGTGGAATGGTTGAAACAATCACGGCTAACATTTGCCAAACACTCACTCTGGGAGAGGCGTTATCTTGCTTAATCCTCACAACAATCCAGTGAGGCAGGAACTTGTCATGATTTTCATTTTACGGACGAGGACTCTGAAGCATGGAGATGTTACCTAACTTATCCAGGGCCACCCTGCTAGTGGGGAGCCATCTGTCTCTGGGATACCTGCTTCAGGCTACAACACCTGACTGCCTCTCTAAATCTATTACAGTGGTCCTCATCAGGGTTGATTTTACCCACCCCCCAGGGGACCATTTGGCAATGCCTGGAGACATTTTTGGTTGTCATGGCTGGGGAGGTGTCCCCCCTGGCATCTAGTGGATAGAGATCAAGGATGCTTCTGAACAACATAAAGTGCACAGGGATCCCTACAGCATCCCTTACAGCAAAGAGTTACCCGGCCTAAAATATTGGTAGTACTGAGGGCAAGCAATCCTGGTTTTTCTTAAACCACACGAAATTAAAAGAAGCTCTACTTTGGCAACCTCTGTAATATGGTAAGTTATTTTATAATACAGTAAAACCTCCGTTTGCAAGCATAATTCATTCTGGAAACATGCTTGTAATCCAAAGCACTCATCTATCAAAGTGAATTTCAAGAGCCATTGGTTCAGCTGTGATCCTGTGACATCCGGCATTGTGTACAACTCGTACTGCGAGAGATCGCTCATTTATCAAGTTAAAATTTATTAGAAATGTTTGCTTCTCTTGCAGAACACTCGCAGGACAAGTTACTTGCAATCCAGGGTTTTACCATAGTTCCATCCGATCCAGGTTCAAGCCCTTACATGTGCCAGAATCGTATTGTTCTTATATAATCACTTCTTGCAGAAAGCAGTGATGACCTCTTCAATATTGAGATGATTGTTCTCAGCCTCTTTAGGTAAACGAGGAGCAGTGAATGTTACAACCGCTTTAAGAGCTAAATGGAGACGATTCCGATGCTGACGTTTAACAAGATGTGTTCAACTTGCTAATTCACTGGCATAAAAAGAATATAGCCTCCCATAAACATGCCTTTGCTTTTAGGATTCCATAACCTCCATCTCTGATGGCGCTTACACCTGTTTCCTGATAAAGTGGCAGGAGTGGGGAAGAAAATGCTCAATACGTTTAAAAAAGATGCCCAAGTTCACAAGTGTTTTTCTGATTCTCTAGCCGTAGCCCTATTACATCGTCTGAGCTTTCTGTTTCCTGATTTTCCCCTCTGGTCATGAGCCTGGTTCTTGTTTTAATTAAAACACAAGCTCTATATTGGTTCAAAAAAAGCAACTAGAACTTTTTTGCCTTTACCTAATGAGACAAAACCCAGAAGGCAATCAAATTATTTTGAAGTTACCCAGACTCAAAAATAACATTCATCCTTTCCAAAATGCAGGGTTTAAACTAACCTCAGGCTCGTCTCCCTGCCATGTCCAAGGAGAGAGCATTGCACATTCCCTGCAGGTCTGTGAAGGAGATGATAGGGCTTTTCTGTCTCTGCAAAAGGGTTTGCAGATTTCTTTCTTTATTCCTGCAGAAGCCAGATGCTTCCCCTGAAAAAGAAAAATGCACTGGGATATTATTTTACCACAGACTTCTTAGTAGCCACGGTGTATTTATTTTATTAAGAAAGGCCAATTTGCAGGGCACCTGGGCCGCTCAGTCGGTTAAGTGTCTGACTTCAGCTCAGGTCACCATCTCAAAGTTCATGAGTTCGAGCCCCACATCGGGCTCTGTGCTGACAGCTCAGAGCCTGGAGCCTACTTCGGATTTGGTGTGTCCCTCTTTCTCTGCCCCTCCCCTGCTCATACTGTGTGTGTGTGTGTGTGTGTGTGTCTCAAAAATAAATAAACATTAAAAAATTAAGAAAAAAAAAGAAAGGCCAATTTGCTATTCTTCCAGATAGTATATTATACACAGAAAAAAACAAAGCAGAGGCCGAACTGTAGATCTCGTGAGGAGCATCCCTCCCAGCCCTGAGACAGGGGCTCTGCCATGTACCACGCTCCACTCTGTGAGTCAGGGGTCTTGTTAAAGACTCCTATCAACTCTGCGGGGCAGGCCCTGTTTCAGTACCCAGTCTGGCACATGAAAAAAAAAATTGACCCTTCGAGAAGGTGTATGGCTTTCACAACGTTATGGATAAGTAAGTGGCAGGGTCAGGATTTAAATACAGAACTATGTGACCACGTTACTCTTCCCCTTCTGAGCGACCTGGTGGAGTAGAGACTCCGGACCAGTCCATAAAATGCCATCACTATCCTCCGTTGGTGCTGATGCAGTTGCAAATAGCTGCTTGGAAGTAATCGGGTTGGTATATATTCCAAATAAAATAAAACGAGTGAAAGAGAATGTAGGCAAACCTCTTAATTTTACTGCATGTCTGCTTTCCCATCTGTAACATGATAATTATCATCTCTACCTATTGCCCTGGACTTTATGGAGAAAATACGAGATTTTATATATGTATGTGTGCAAATACATGCCCACATATTTATATAATACACACATACCTATTTGCATACCTGTGTGTGCGTATGGACATACACATATACATGTAAATATACTCCCGCACATGCACACAGATAGAAGTGAGGACACACTCTGTTCCTCCTCAGGAAGCTTTGCCACCTTTCTGTACCATTGTGACTACAATGGGTGAAAGATGACATTTTCTTGACAGTCTATTTTTTGTGCAAGCCACATGAGAACATAATGAATAAATGCTGTTCCACCTCACTCTAACCTTTGACCGAAGCCCTTGAAGCCTAGAC